TCTCAAAAGGCTGCAGATGAATAAATTTTTTTTTCTTTTACAAAATCCTTTATAGGACGTCTCCTACACTTTATCCCTACACCAGTTTTAGAATGGCTGTTGCTTACATTGCATGTAACATGCACTTTTTGCTTATAAAAATGTAGCTTTTAATGGAATAGTTGCCCCTCTGTCTCAGCCTCAGCTTTGCTGCCACTCTGAGATTCTGAAGATGCTGGACCACCTTGCTAGGACTCAGCTGCTGTTACTGCTGCTCCTCTTCCTCCTCCTCCTTCTTCTTTTTTGTTTTTTTGAGACAGAGTCTCACTAGGTAGTTCAAGCTGGCCTTGAATTTACTGTGTAGCCCGGGCTGGTCTTGAACTCGAAGTGATCCTCCTGCCTCAGCCTCCTGAATTCTGGGATTACAGGCATGCATTGCTATGTCTGGTTTAGGGCCCAGCTTCTGTACTGCATAGAGAGCTGGGGTCCACTGTCCCTTGAGGTGGAATCCAGCATTAGTATTAATGGGCCCAGGGCCTTTGGGAGTGTGCTTCTCCCTGGACTAGGCCAAGGGCATCTTTGATAGCTCTTCTGCTCTCCGGCTTCCACAGGTCTCTCCTTTCTACCTCAATGGGAAACTGTTCTGGAAATTCAGAAGCCTTTTTGTGTATCCAGATGTAGGAGGAGGGTTTGGGAACAATGGGAATTGAACAGTACTTCTGAGGGTGTCTTTCGAGCGCTGGGCTTCAGGTGAGTATGGGCTATGAAAACGACCGGGCTTAGGACCCTTCTTGTCCTTTGGCATTGGAGGCCAGAAAGACGAGAACAACCCTACGAATGTCCTGGCATAAAAGAAACCTAAGAGGACTTAAGTTGTTAAATTGTGAGCGCTGATGGCTGAGAGAATTTCTCTCCCTACAATTGTGACAGATGTTTATTAGCAGCTCCGACCGAGTGGTCTTGTCCTTTTAACTTCTTGGAATACTCCATATTATAATTCCACACAATCCCTTGTTATCTTCAGTGGTTACAGCTTTAAAACTGGTCCTAGGACTTTGGACGGATTTGGGGATGGGCGGGTTAGAAGAAAGCATCTGTCTTTGAAATGTTGGCCTGTTGCTCCCAGCTGACAGCCAACCTGCATTTCTGGGCTGAGCTTCAAGTCTTCTCTACAACCTCTGGGTGGTCCCTATGTCTGTTTCGAGAAGGATAAAGAAAATTTCCTAAAAGTTGTGAAAAATTTCCCAACAAATTTGTTCACAAGTCACTGTATATTTTACTGATATTTTATAGCTGCACATTGATAGGGTATTACAACACTGTTTGGCAATCTTTTCTTTTTCCTATGATAGCTGTGACTTATATATAGGTACATTTTTTGTTCTTCTCCAGATCATGTGGATCCTGCCAGGATTTGTCTTGTTTTTGTTACTATAGCACAATACCCAAGGCAGGCTGACTTTATAGACAAAAGAGGTTTATCAAGCTCAAAGTCATGGCTGCCAGAAGTTCAGAGCATGGTGTCAGCTGTGAGGAGGGTCACCCCTGTCTGAGTCACCTTGTGGCAGGGGGTGCTGGTGGGAGAGGATGCGGGAGGAGATGCTGCACTGCAAAACCGGAAGCTGGAGAGAGACTGGGGTCTGAGAGTAGCTTGCAATGGACCTGAGGACTTTCTACTGCAGCCTAACTCTCAAAGGCCAACCTCCCAGACCATCCCTGAAGGCAAGCTCCTCATGCAGGACTTTGGGGGACACCCTTGAGCCCCAGCTCTGCTGTGTTATCAGAAGTAAGCCTGGGGTACACAATGAGAAGCCTACTGCAGTTTTGTTAAGTGAATCTCAAGGCAAACACTTCCTCCCTCCCCTGTCAAGGACCCAGGGCTCTGTACTCAGCACAGCTCCTGTGACATTCTCTGGGGCTGTCCTTTCTGTGCCATAGAATTGCCAATCTTAAAGTAAGTGGCGGATTCTTTCCTCTTATCCTTTTGTGTAGACTTGATATTACAAATGACTAAATTGTGTTCAAAAGGGGTTGGCCAGTATTTCCTGTGATCCACTGTCGTGTTTGAGCCATTGATTTTGTTGTTGTTGTTTTTTGTGGTACTGGGGATTGAACCCAGGACCTTCACACTGAGGTAAATCCCCAGCCTTTTAAAATTCTTTCTTTTGAGACGGGGTCTCACTAAGTTGCTAAGTTGCCCAGGTTGGGCTCCAACTTGTGATTCTCCTGCCCTCCTGCCCTTCAGCACTGACAGAATGATGATCGTTTTTTTTACTTTCAATATTTTGGAGGTTGCCTGGATAATAGTACTTGAGCTGCATTTGGGGTGATTTATGTTCCTCCCTTTGTCTCCTCCTGGGTAAACACGGTGTAATTCCATGAAGTCACCAGGCAAGCTTGGACCTCTTTCCTTGGAGTCTCAGATCCTCGAGCTATTTCCTCTGGGCCGCCTGCTACACACCTTTCTTGTTCCTAATCTGTGAAGACAGATGCCACATCTACCCCACCCTTCTTGTCCTTTGTCCTTGGAGGCCAGAAAGACAAGAACAAACCCTACGAGTCTCTGGAACAAAAGCCAACAGGGGAAACTCCGTGAGCGTACTGGTACCTCGCTCCCTCCTCAAGCATGCGTCACCTGAAGAAAGAAACGTATCTTCTCACTTAATAGCTCACCAGAGAGCTGGACATCAGAGTTTTCAAAGAAATATTTTTGTTGCATAGTTCTAAAGAAGTTTTAGGACAGATAACAATATAAGAGTACTCTGTTCTTCATATTTTATTCACTATTCTATTTTGTTTTTTTTTTGTACTGGGGATTGAACTCGGGTCCTTGCGCTTGTGAGGCAGGCAGTGGAGCCACTGAGCTAAATCCCTGGCTCAGTATTCTAAATAAACTCCATGATCCTAAATAAAATAGTTCCATAGTTACTTTATTAAAAATTGAACTTGTTCTGAACAACGCATTGGTTTCAGTCTCTTGGTATCTATGAGCTGGATTTTTCTGTATTTGTAAATAATCCCTTAGTGCAAATGCAGCGTTCTTCTTATTTTATTTTTAAATTTGAAAAGTTGCAAAGTTTCCCAGGCTGACTTGAACTTGGGATCCTCCTGCCTCAGCCTCCTGGAGTGCTAGGATGACAGGTGGGGACTACATCTGGCTACAGATGCAGCATTCTAACACAGGCCAAGGGAAACAGAGAGAGGGATTCACCTCCGGATTCTTTTCAGAGTGGCCTCGTACCTGTGTCACAAGGATGCTACTGACCAGAAACACAGGCCCCAGACAACAAGAAGAGCACTGATCCGAGAGCCGGGGGCTATGCCAAACATTTCCATTTCTAGAAAAACAACCAGGCTGAATCTGCTGTTTCATATTCTTAACTTTGTGTTTCTTAACTTTTTTTAGTGGAAGAGAAGCACTGATGCTTTCATTTACTGTAATGATTTGACAAGAAACGTGTTCCACTTAAGACAATATTGCATATTTTTGGGTAGTGATTTTATGCTTAGCTGTACCTGAGCAATTGAAGACGTTGCCATAAACTAGAGGCTCATGTGTATGCTTCATTCAGTGTGTCTAGAAGATAGAAACATTCTTTGTTTGGAGAGTTAAGATCAGAAATCCTTTTTATTTTTAGAATTTCTTTTAAGATCAGAAATTCTTATATGGCTCTCATTTTTATATTTGAAGGTATAGATGTCACAAATACAATTCAGGTTCATCTTTTTAAATTTTGTTTTATGTTTGTTTTTTGAGACAGGGTCTCACTATGTAGCCCAGGCTGGCCTGGAACTTGCAGTGATCCTCCTGCCTCAGCCTCCCAAGTGGTGGGATTACAGGTGTGTGGCATCACACCTGGCCCAGGTTCACCCTTTTCTAAAGTTAGATTTGGCCTTTTATGCCGTGTCTGTGCTCTTTTGGTGGGGGAGGGCTTGTGGGAATGCTGCTCTGATTCTCGATCTGGTCATATTAAATTCCCTGAGCTTGAATGTCTCTGTCTAGCCTGGGTTGGCCATGGTTCTTCCTGGGCCCCGTATCACCCCGTACCCTACCTTAAGAGACTTCGTGCTCCAAACAGGACGAAGCTATGTGGCTTCAGAGCTCCTGCACATGTGACCATCTGTGGGGTAAAAGACCTAGGAAGGGGCAGTGGGGAAAAGAAATACCGATGTGGCCAGGTGACACTATGTGGCTAGATTGGCAAAGGAATAAACACCAGGCACCTCCTTTCTTAGAGCTTCTCAGGATCTTAGGAAATCTGGCACCACGTCTCCTACCTGGCCTTGTTCCGCAAGGCACTTTACTTGGCCCATCTCCTTAACGTTCTGTGAACATGTCCTGTCTGATCCTGCGACACTTGTGACGAGGATTGTGAAACGAAGCCCTTTTCCATCAGCGTCTTTTTATTCCTTGCTATCTCCCTTATTTTATCTTTCCTCCCCCTCTACAATGTAAACTTCTTAAAGTGAGCGGTGTACCTTATGTTTCTTTTTTAACTGATGCAATATTTTGTTTGGGTCTGGATGTAATGAAATGAGACATGAATTAATTGTAAGTGGATTTGGAAAATAATCTTATCATTTCCTGTAGGCCAAGCTGTTTGCTATATTGTCAGGGACACAGAAGTGTAATCTCAGCTGTGATCTCATTCCATTGCTGTGATGTTGTTCAAAACACCCACATAAAATGGTTGTAATCTTTATTTTCTGAGGATGAGAAAATGTAAATAATGAATTAATATTAGCAATGTAATAATGAAGCTATTTCATAGTTGACAGCTGCATTCCTCAATAAAATGTTAATTGTCTTAAAAACTCGCTTGTGAATTCATACCTAGGTCACTGAGAACAGTGGTCATTCAGCAGAAGCAATCGTGTAAATAAATATAACAATAAATTGTAATAAAAAATCAAGAATGAATTTGTGAGTTTGCCAAAATGAGTTTATTGAAGCATAGAAGCAATTAGAGCAAAAGTTGTCATTTCAGCTTTTCAGAGGATTTCCTAAGAAAGGAGGCGTGTGCGGAGACACTGGCTGGGTGTCTGTCTGGACTGAAGATTCTCCCTGGAGGGACGCAGAGCGGTGCCTCTCTCCTGGCCTTCTTGATCTCTTCTCCAGAAGATGGTCTTGTTGATCTGAAAACTGCTTACTTGATTTTCACCTCAGAAATGCTGCTGACTTGAGAGGAGACAACTCGGCCGTCCACCACCTCTTCTATGATGGTCTTCGTCACCCTCGTCTTGTTAGGGTCTGAAAATCACGAGGTCACAATGTCAGACCAGAAACTGTCACAGACACACAGATAAAGGGACTGCCACGCCACGCATCAAGTAGCTTCTCTCTGGCCACGATGATAGAAACAATAGCAGACACTTGAATAAGACCAGCCCAGCGTGCCTCTACCTTTAAAATACAAAATGATCATCAGCACCAAAAAATGCTTACCTCTTCCTTGACTTTCAGATCTTGAGTTACCGGTTACCAAGTCCTCGGATCTTTCAAAACCAGAGCCACTGGGGAAAAGAAAAATTACATTTGCAAAGGGAGGAGGAGCCCTCTGTCCTGGGGAATCTCTGTGATATGTCTTCAGTGGGTTTTGATTGCCCCTGCCTGTGACTTTATTACTTTATACGTACCACTCCAACCTCCGGTCCCTTTTTGGTTTAAAAGATAACCCCCTGAGTTGTGGCTGTGCGCACAGGGACATCACTTACCCTCGCTCTCCGTTGAGCAGGCGGCGGTAGGTCTCGATCTCCCGCTCCAGGCGTGTCTTGATGTCCAGCAGCACCTCGTATTCTCTGTTCTGACACTCAGTCTCCCTCCGGATCTGGCAAATCTGCTCCTCCAGGCTGCCGATCTTCATCTGAATCCCTGACAGCTGAGCCACGTAGCCCACTTCTGCGTCAGCCAGGGTCCCTTCCAGGGAGCTTTTCTGTCACCAAATGCAAATTAAAAAAAAACTATGATGAAGATAAGTCAACAAATGGCTTTTAAAATGCCACTACTTTATATAACATTAGAGGTGTCCTTTCACCTAGTCGCAATCTATGTTGTTTTTTTTAGCATTGCTTCTTTACTTTTTGTTGGCATTGGCTGCTAAATAGGAAATCTTTTAGGGAAACAGAACGAGTTGCCTTCAACTGCTTTTTGCTTTCTAGAGCCACAGTATGCTCCTCTTTAACACTGCTTTCATGAGGTGCCTGGTGAACGTTTTGCCAAAGAAAAAACTGCATTTGCTGAGGTCCCTGTTGGCACTGGAAAATGCTATCTGCACGTACCATGGCCAGTTGGGACTGGAGCTCAATTTCCAGGGCTTGCAGGGTACGTTTCAGCTCTGTTATCTCCGTTTTGGCAGAACTGGCTGCCCCAGCATTGGTAGAGATCTGTGCCTGGAATGATGCACTCTAAACAGAAATAAAACGCAGTTTGCAGGCTGGGGAGCGAGCAGCAGCGGCTCTTGTGAGGCTGCGGGCTTGGCAAACCTGCTCGTTGTACCGCTCCTCCACCTCCCGGCGGTTTTGCTCGGCCAGCTGCTCGTACTGTGCCCGCACGTCGTTCAGCAACTTGGTCAGGTCAACTCCTGGGGCGGCGTTCACCTGCACGGTCACGTTCCCCCCGGAGCTCCCTTGCACACTCTTCATTTCCTAGCCCACAGGGCAAAAAGACCACAAGGGTGAATATTGGAAAAGCAAAACCAGCATGAAACTAGGACACTGCCCGACCCATGCTCAGGAAGAATACGCTCAGTTTTACTCTGGGGCCATCGCATGAGGGAAGTGCGTTTAGATAACACCGAGTTGATTCTGAAAGAGTGGATGAGGGAGGAAAGCCAGGGTCGCTGGTAGATGGGCTTGCCCTCACCTCCTCGTGGTTCCTCTTCAGGTAGGCCAGCTCCTTCGTGAGGCCCTCGATCTGCATCTCCAGGTCGGTCTTGGACAGGGTCAGCTCGTCCAGCACCCTGCGCAGCCCGTTGATGTCGGCCTCCACGCCCTGCCGCAGGGACAGCTCGTGCTCGTACCTGGAGGGGTGGCAGGAGGGCAGGCAGCTCGAGGACCGCTGGATGCCCACCCCCCCTTCCTTATATGTGGGGCGAGGCTTCCCCTCTGAGAGTTGTGATGAACGGAGACTCCTCCCCCCATAACTAGAGATCCAGTATTAATTCTGATCCTAGCAAATAATTTTATAACAAAATTCTCCTCCAAATTTGCCTGCTTTTCATTTTGTGGATCGACGGCATCTGTAGTTTCCCTTTGGCATGCTTACGAAATTTTAAAGCAAACTTAGGTTGAATTTTACTTTTCTTCTCATTTCTTACTTCAGCCTGAAGTCATCAGCAGCCAGCCTGGCATTGTCGGTTTGCAACATGGTCCTAGCATTTTCAGTAGTGGCAGCTGTGATCTAGAAAAGAGACAATAAATAGTGAGCAGATGACAGGTGGCTTTCACCCTGTGTCCTCTGGCCTGCGGATGAGGGTGGATGTCTCCTGCATCACTCACTGAGAGGTGAAGGGCTTGCTGGCTTAGGGAAGATACCTGTCTATGTAGGATGACATCTTTCTGCAGAGAGGATATCAGTTGGCACATTTACTGGAATTAGGCACAGACCCCAGCTTCTAGGACTCAGCCGTTTGTATATTTCCACTGCTTGGAGAATCATTTATTCCCTAAGCGCTCTCAGAAAATAGTGCAAAAATGGATTTTCACTTCCAGGAAATGCCTTTTCCCGTACAATGGTGGCTAAACATTTTTGGTTCTACTGTCCTCTTATACAATATTTACACTAGATTTTCTAGGAAGAAAAATAGTCCTAAAGATTACTTAAATCTCACAAGATACTAAAATATGCCAACCTGTCAGAATTAATCACAAAATAGATTAACCTAATATAAACTTTTAAATTTTATTATTATTAATTTTTGGTACCGGGGATCGAACTTGGGACCTTGCACTTGCAAGGCAGGCAGCAGCACCCCTGAGCTAAATCCCCAGCCCTACCTAATATAGACTTACTGCCATCATTCTTATATATACCTGTTGGTTAGCTGCCTGGTATTGTGTAAACTTTACTCTTTTGTAGAAATACTCAGATTTGAGACACAAACAGGAAATTAATGCAGTAGGATATCATGTAAAGGATCACCATAATCAAGACGTACCAGGTCCCTTTTTGCATTTATGACAAGCAGATATATTTTCAAATAATCCCTTGGTTTAAAATTTTCATTGTAGCACATTATCTGAAAAAAGTGTAAGATCTACCACAGAAACTCAGCCACGGGCAGTGTCTCACCTGCTTCCTGAGATCTTCAAGAATGGAGTAGTAATGGCTGTAATCTCTTCTGGTCCCACCATCTCTAGACCCAGGCCCAAATTTGTCATACCACTCCTTGATTTTATTCTCCAGATCAGTGTTGGCTTCCTCCAGGGCCCGGACCTTGCCCAGGTAACTGGCCAGGCGGTCATTGAGGTTCTGCATGGTCTGCTTCTCATTCCCAGGGAGAAGCCCCGCATCACCAGAGCCCCCACCAAAGCCACCTCCTGTGCCACCCCCATAGCTGCAGAAGCCCCCGCTAGCACCGCTGCTGAATCCAGAAGCTCCACCGAAGCCAGAGCCCCCGCCAAAGCCAGCCCCAGAGCCTGAGCCTGCTCCCCACCTGCCCTCTATGGAGCAGCTCCCAAAGCCTCCTCCGGTGCCACCTCCAAAGCCACCGCTAAATCCCCCACTCAGGCCACAGCTGCCAGCTCCTCCTTGGAAGCCCCAGGCAGAGCTGCTTCCACCAGTGGACATCCTGCTGCCTCCAGCCCTGAAGGAGGAGACGCCAGACAAGCAAGACATGCCGGTCCTGCAGATGCGTCAGGTGAGCAGGAGAGGAGAAGACAGGAGCTTGTGCTAGGCTGCCTTTTTGGCCTTTACGTAGACCCTTGTAGGGTGTTCCTCCCTTCTGTCACTTCCTAATCCCTTTTACAGCCTTGCTAATCTGTAATTGGATAATTTCTTTTTCATGAACCTACTCTACTGGCTGTTTTTCTGAAGCTGGCTCAGAGCCCTGGGGGCATTCAATCTATCAAGAAAAAAAAAAGTGGAACAAAGCAAAAAAAAAAAATTCAGAATGACAATCTTCCAGAGGTTTTGATGACTGGTGATTCTTTTCTGAAAATATAACTCTATTAAATTTGCTTTGTGATTTCTCAATGGAAGAGAACATCCCTGATAATCAGATGTAATTAATGTTCTGGATGGGATGAAGAGGAAACTTTCCCAACATGTAACTTTAGGTTCATGTTGTTAGAGCTTTAGCATCAGCATTAATTTCAGGCTTAACCAAGTATCCTTCTCTTTGATTGCTTCAACTGGCCTTTTTTGAGCCTGTTATATTTTTGTGCTGTTGGGTTATTGGTTTCTTTGTATTTTGAAATCAAATGATATTTCTTCACTGTTAATAAGAAAAACTGAAATAGATGATAGTCTTCCATGCAAGTACTACCAGATTGGACGGACATGTTTATTCAAGCAGTTAATGTCTAAGAAGGATTGGACAAGTTTTCAGCAGATCATTTTAGCAACGGATCAGAGTTTGGTTGTAACCGGTTTGATGCCTCAAGTACACTTTTGTCTCTGGTTGAATTCTAGTCTGATATAAGAACAGTAAGGTCCTCGGTTACAATCAGCTCTCAGGGCATGAAGAGATGACTATCGATTTCTCCTGCCTTTGTTTTACAGATACCGGGAGAAGAGGATCTGAAGCTGCCTTTAACAACACTTGTTGTTCCATGAGTCATTTCGTAGTTGTTCAGAGCTGAGGTTTCCTCCACTCTACTCTTCTCTAGGATTTTCTGCTTTTGTTGAAAAGCTATGTAGCAAGAAGGTCTGTATCTACTGGTGAGTGCTCATGTTAGGGCTGGGGTCACTGGGGATTCTGAAATTTGGAAGCAGTTCACTCTCTGCTTCATGATGTCTTATTCCTTGGTACCATAGCTCACTCCATTTCGTCTCTGCTAGGAACTTGTCTGGTTTAAAAGTGTCTTCTTAAAAGGGAAAGACTGAGCGATTCCACTTATGTGAGGTTCCCAGAGTCCTCAAGTTCATAGAGACAGAAAGTAGAGTAGTGTTTGCCAGGGCTGGGGGCAATGGATACAGAGTTTTAGTTTTAGCATTCTGGAGATATGTAGGTTGCATAACAAAGTGAGTATAAACACCGCTGAAATATACACTTAAAAGTGCCTATGTAAAGTGTACTTTACAGAATTTTTTTTTTCCGGTACTGAGAATTGAGCCCAGGTCCTTGCTTATGCTAGGCAAGTGGTTTACCACTGAGCTACATCCCCAGACCTATTTTATCGTAATTTAAAATAAGACGTCTTTTTAAAAATAGTATTCAGTGATGGTGAACATTTTAGAGCCTTCAGTGATACAAGTTGCCTCTGCGACATGTGTGCTGTGGGATCGGGTTTACCACCACTGGCATAGATGCTTCTAAAAATATTTCTTGGCCACCTTAGCTTTATACTCAAGTAGTTGACTTTTCTTTAAAGCTTTTGTGTCTACCTTGGCAGTCTCTGTTAAACCATGTGCACGCTGTCATTGTTACATTCAGTCATTTGTCACCCAATGTTTTGCCACCTCTTAGTTTTGCCTTAAACTACTTTCACTGGGACACATTGTTAAATGTGTAGGTCATTAGCGTTTGTGGTCTACCTGTGGTATTTGACTGCGGCTGGATGTTATTCTTCTTTGTATTTAGGGAAACATCACTCCAAGGGGTACAAGGTGTTTTACAGCGTTTAAATTGTTAAGCTGGAAATGATTCTAGTAACACTCTCCCTTCTGAGATAGGTAAAACAGAATATGCGGGGCATTTTGCCTCATCCTTTCCCCAAATTAACCCAGAGAAGTCTAAATTCTATGATCAAGTGCTATGCAGACATGGGAGTTGGGACAGCTGTGCAGTTTTTCTCTCTTTAAAAATTATGAAGCGGCCCCTTTCCCTGTTCAGAAAGGCTGGCATTTGACTACGAGAAGCTATGAAAAGTGGAACAACAGTGCAAGAAATCTGACGGAACCTAAAAGTGGTGGAGTTTAGGGGAAGGAGCTTTATGTGGAGAGAATGAGGAAAGACGGGATGGAATGGTAGGTTTTATCTCGGAGCTTTGCCTGGGTTCCATGGAGTGTTCTTGCGGCTGTCATCTGAGTTGTAGCTTTTTTGGGCTTGTGCTTTGCGATAGCTAAACATTTGGTTCTTGGGAGAGCTTGTGATGACTAAGATGTTCTATCTTGGTTTCTTTTACATTGGTTTTTTTTTTTTTTTTTTTTTTTTTTTGGGGATCGAACTTGGGTCCTCTTGCGAGGCATACACTGTTATTACTGAACACATATTTAGAGTTA